AAGGACATAGTTGCGTGTGCAGGTTGTTTGGGAATTTCTTGGGGATGGTTATACATCAGAACTTGCCTACAGATCCGTTGAAACATGCATTCTTGAGTTTAGCCCTTTACAAAATGGTTTATCACAGAACTGCAGAACCGCAGGCCAAAATCTGCCAGATAAAGACAATCCATTGAGTTGAAGATATTGCTGCCACTGCAAGTTTATATAGCTGGTTACTGTCATCATTTTATGTGGCACCAGACAGCACAGTCAGTGTGATTGAGATTTTACTAGCCTATTAAATTAAGTAATCTTCCTCTTTTATGAATGTGATAGAATAAGTGTTAAACAAGTGTTTGGTTGGTTCTTCTTCGTATTGACCTACTTGATTCGAGTTTGACAGACTTGGCAGAAAATAATTCTAGAAAATTATTTTACAAATATAAAGTTTAGTAGCTTTTAATGCTTTATATAGGCTCATCCATAGCTAGTTTTTTGACGGTTCAAGTTTGCTATGATTTCTCCACACACTGAAACTCATGGTTAGTTTGGCTTTTGAGATAAGTGAGATGGAGACATGAATCGATTGAACTGCATTTTGGGGAATTAGGGGCCTGATTGCTTTTGTGTATCAGCCTCAGTTGTCACAGCATAAAGACTTGGATAGACTCTCTCCTTTCATGAAGTTCTGATGAGATAACTCTTATTAAAGTTATTAAAACTTGGTCCTGAATAAAGCAGTTAATTATAAATTATAGATTAGGATGCCAGATAATTATTGGATTGATAATTAATTAATATAATTTTTTACATAAATTCTCTCTGAAATACTTGGATGGATTAATTCAGCAGTCAGACATTTCCTAATATTCTCTGTCATCCCTTGACAGTGCTGTACTTTAGTCTTTTCATCTGGGTAACTAAAACTGGCACTACTTTTATCCCTTGTATCACACCATTGGCTCATTTCATACAAATGCAACTGCTGCCATCTTGCATCTCGTTTATTATAGTGCTATTATATAGTATATAATACAGAATATAATGATAGTGTATTAATTAATTAATTTACATTTTTATATTTTCAGTTTTTGTTTTATTTAAAAAATATATATATATTAGGTTTGTGTAATTTTGTGTAAATTGTGTTAATTTGTGTTAACTGTGCTTTAAATTTCAAAATTTTAAATTTCATTTTAAATTTTTAAAATTTCAATTGCCGAAAACTATTTTTTAACAGTTTTAGTTAAAGCATTAGTTCACCCAAAATATAAAACTTCTGTCATTAATTACTCACCCTCATTATGTTCCAAACTAATAAGACTTTCGTTCATCTTCGGAACACAAATGAAGATATTATTAATGAAATCTGAGAGATTTCTGTCCCTCCATTGACAGCTACACAACTACCACTTTGTTGCTTTAAAATTTTCTGAAGAGACTTGATTTCTTTAAATGTATCATAAACAGATTGAATTTAGTCTTTTATTCACACAAACACTGATCAGTGAACATAAACAAGCTCCGAACGTGCTTTACATCTGAGAACAAACCTTATTGGCTCTTGTGGAAGCTCACACGAGAATGAACCTCATTGGTTCTCGCACATCAAGTTAACACGATTGAGCTTCCCTTTACCACAACTGATGTGTGGGTTGAGTGTTTTTGTGAATAAAAGCCTAAATTCAATCTGTTCATCATATAAAGTGATCATATCTCGTCAGAAAGTTTTAGACTACTTCATTTAAATTGATTAGTTTTACTATCTCTTTATGACCTTTTTGAAGTGTCAGTTGCCAATGGAGGGACAGAATGCTCAGATTTAATAAAAAAAAAATAATAATAATTTGTGTTGCAAAGATGAACGAAAGTTTTACGGGTTGACATGACTGTAAGTTGCCAAATTAATAACAGAATTTTCATTGTTGGGTGAATTATCTCTATCAACACTGAGTAACAGAAGCTTTAAGATAGCATACTATTTATAAAATAATTTCAATGGTAATTTCTGGTAAAAAGGTGCAGTGTAATTTAGTAATTTTAACATGCTTTGGGTTTTAAACTGTTGTTTTTCCAACACTGATGCAATATTGACTTGTTTTTGAACCATTATTTCCTCAAGAAGTGTTATGATCGGCTGGTTTGTTTATATCAAACTAAACTGTTTGCGTTTTTCAGAGGTCAGCGTTGATTCACTCAATGATTAGAATGTTGTTTGTTATTGAGAGAACCTTTGTTTATCCCATGAATTAGACATTTTTATAGACTGACGACGCTAGTGTGTGTTTGCTGCAAAATCTTGAGCCTTAACATGGAGGATCACGCACTCTGTGCCATTTTATGATTCATACTTTGCATTTAGGAGTTTGACACAGACCAGCTGATATGCTGCATGAGCACAGAAGCCACACAGTTCTCATACAAATCCTGGTCATAAGCCAAAGCTTTGTGTATGTGCTGGAGCTCAGAGCGGGACAACAGCTGGACCCACTGCCCCAAATAAGTCTCTGCCGAGTTAAACAAATGAATAAGTGGCTTTGGGCTCCAACGCGGCAGCATGAAAGAACGCTTTCCAGGAAAAGGAAGCTTCCTGTGCCATGTTGAAACCCAGTGTCTTGCCTCTGCCTGCTGGTGGGTGCAGACATTGACCAATGGGCTGTCCCTGTCTCTGTCTTATCAGTCGCGCTGCAGACGCTCACCTTGTCAACGGCAGGCTGGAGAAATGCCTCGAGCACCTGGTGCTATCTTGACTCGCGGCCGGCCCCCTTTCTGTCTCGCACGTTCACGGCTTAAGAGTGGGATTATTTTAAACATCCTCCGCTATCGAACTGCGCCTTAGCTGGTTGAAGTGAATTAATTGTCAGTTTTATCTGGAAGTGCTCTCATCAAGTGATGTCATGTCACATTAAAGTGTAGTTGAGGTATCAGTGGTTACTGCACGCATGGCGGGATGCCGCGTCAGCTGGCACGTGCACCCTCAGATTGAATACAACTTTCAAAATGAATATATCTTTGATTATTAATTTGCTCTATTAAGTTAGGTAGGAAGTTTTTAAAAGAGAAATATATAGTTTTTAGTAAATATACAGGGTTTCGGGTCTTAAAAAAGTCTTATTTCACCCTTACACAAATTAAGGTCTTAAAAAGGTCTCCAATCAGAGCAGAAAGTCTTACATTTATAAAGGCATGGCATTAAATGTTGCATGCATTGCAAAAAATAAAAAATGATCTTTCTCAGTATTTTTGTCCTTTTTTCCAATACAAATATCTAAACATCTTTGATACATTTACTTGAGATCCAAATGTAAAATGAGGTCTTGATTTTTTTTTTTTATGATTAAAACTAGAGCAAATGTGTAAATGATTAATGAAAACTTGCCTTTGGATTAAGTTGATTTATCTGAGCCCATTGGTTCTTGTTTTAATCATAAACTCATTTTATGATTAGGACTTTATATTTTGCATCTCAAGTAAATATATCTTGATTTAAGAACGTAGCCTACTGAGGCAGAACTTCCTTTTTTGTGGCTTGATCAGAAGGTACAGTAAAATATATTTCCATGATCTAGTGGTTTGGAGCAGAGGGATTCAAGCTACTTTTATTTGTAAAATTAATTTAAAAAAAAATACAAATCTGTTGAAAGTTTTGTTTTCATACACCAAAATGTTGCTAATAGAACTTACTGTGTTCCACCCTAGACATTTACATTTGATTTCCCTTCAATTTTAGTCTAGAAAAGGACTTAAAAACGTATTAAATTTACTAAAAATGGCAGAAAATGTGCATATATTTTCTCAGATTGTACTAAATAAATATTACATAATTATTCAGTATATTAAATAAAATACTACATATATGCTAAATATATTTAGTAGGTTAGATTGATATTTTGTATTTAGACCCTTAAATTTAATTCAACTTATTATTAGAGCTTCCATAATAATCGGATTAGGTAAGAAGTGTTTAAAAGTTATTTATGAATTTATTTGACATGGTGGGATGTATTTTGCATTACCATGTTGAACTCCAAACAAAATATCAAATTAATTGTATTGATTGCTCTTGATAAGTGCTGTAGATTTATTTCATCCCAGTTGGGCTTTTATTGTGGAGGCTGCAGTGTTAGTGCATTATAGTTTACAGTTAATTGAATTCTATTACTTGATAAGCTCCCTCGTTTCCTCTGAAAAAGATTGATGTCGCAGCTGTTGCCTGGTAATGCAGCGTACGTTGAGTGAAGGCCTCCGTTTAATTTATTCACTTACTGAGCGTATCAGTAGAGGCAGAGCGCACCTGACTGGCAGCTCGGTTAATTCAGCTTACTTTCATGACTCGATGATGTTTCCGCCACATTAGCGGGACAAGACTTGAAATGTTGACAACAGAAGGTCGCCACGTGAGCTTTCGAAAGTCCTTCAATCAGCTTTGCTCTGGTTTATAGGCACTATAACTCAGTGCGGGGTTGAGAAATGGGACGCTTTTTTCTATTTCATTCAAAGCAAAGGAGGCACCACTCTTCCGCTTATTAAAAGAGGCCCTGGAACATTTGTATCCTCTCAGCCTCCCGTCTCTCAATGCCTAAACAGTTTTGCTTGTGTATTTGTTGATATATTGCCAATTGCTGCTGTTTTGCTTTAAGTGGGCCCGAGTCCCTCTCTTGTTGCCGTGGTTTCCCTCTCATTCCTAATATGTCTGTTCTCTAACTCCCTGGACTCTGTGAAAGAGTCTTGAAAACGGTGCAGAAATCGTCTCTCACCCCCTCCAGATCTGAAGGGCGCTTTTTATTGTGCGGTCTGCTTCTCTGTGATTATAACTAATGAAAGATAGCGTTGTTTAAGAGTGTGTAAATAAATGAAATATCTTAACAGCCACTCTTTGTTTGTCATAATTATGCTGTTTCCTCTTAGCCTGCTGGCCACACAGAAATGGAAAATAATATATTATGTAGCATTACAACTACTTGCTGAGAGCTACTTGTTACTAAGTGATTTCTTTCTCTCCGTCTCTCTTGTTATAGTGTTGCTGAGGGAGGAGGTGGCTCAGTTACAGGAGGAGGTGCACCTCCTCAGACAGATGAAGGACATGTTGAGTAAAGACCTGGAGGACTCGCACGGCGGCTGCTCGGCCGACACGCTGTCCGCTGCCGAGCTCAAGGTGCAGTTGGGGGAGAAGGAGCAGGAGCTGGAACGTGCCAAGGAGGCCTTACAAGGTCTGAACCCCAATCACAAAGCCAATATTGCAGGATTACCAGAGAAATCCCCCCTGTGTGCTGTTCAAGCGCTTCACCTTCCCTAGACACATCAATAATGCCTGAGTTTACCAAAAATCATTGTTTCAGTATTGGGATGGATCACAGTGGTCGGCCAAATACCAACTAGTCAATAGTGTGATATATATATATATATATATATATAATTGCATGAAAATTTACTCTAAAATACATTTTATTATTAAGCAAAATAATATTATTAAGCTAACTACAAATTTAAAACGTATAATTAAAAACATTTTTTTTTTAAATGACACAGAACACTAAAAAATAGCATTTTCTGCTTGTCCTAACTCTTTATCTCTAATATTTTAGATAAAATACACATTTTTTCATTTTCATTCAGTCCTGTTACACTATTACATCCCCCCTCTGAAAAACGTGGAATATTCCACAAGACACATTTTCAAGTAAGTTGCATCATCTGGATCTATTGAAGGCAATGGGGCGACTATAAGTCACTCCTCACATTTTCAGTTCTGTAAATTTGATGAAATTATAACTATGAATGAGAAGGACAGTCTCAATACACAGTCCTGTTACCTAAACTTTTTCTCAGATTTAATTTTTTTTTTATTTTAAAAAATATTAACTTTTAAGGCACTAGAAATGGCTCAGTGTCCACACGCTATTAGCATCAATGCTATGTGGCCATATATTTGATAACTTTTTGCTTAAAAACTCAATCCTGTTACTTTCAGTCCTGTTACTATTTTTTTCTTTTTCTAAAAAAAAGTGAAACCACTATTTTTATCAGTTTTGTTTGGCCCATAATCTATACAATATATATATATATATATATATATATATATATATATATATATATGAAGAGCTCAGATGCAAAAGCCTCTAAGTGCCATTTGAAATTTTCTTCTAAAATGATCATTTTTATCAAGCTTGTATATTTAAGTTCAGTAATTTCACTTAAATGGCAATGAAGATTACCTATTAATTGTCATTTAAGTGAAATTACTGAACTTAAATATACAAGCTTGATAAAAATGGTCATTTTAGAAGAAAATTTCAAATGGCATTTAGAGGCTTTTGCATCTGAACTCTTCATATATAAGCTTGAGGCTTTGGTCATCTTCAAAATGAAAAAATGCCTTTGTGTTTTTTTGTTTTTTTTTATCAAAATATACCTTGCTTTAATAGTGATTTTATTGGCACAAATATCAATTTTTTGAGCATATAAACAACAAACATGAGAAAACATGCATCCATATTCTGCTTAAACCTTGTAAAAAAATAAATAAAGTTGCCTAAAATTGACCAATACACATTTTGAATAGTTAAATATGTATAGTATTTGATTCAATGTTGAAAAGGATCCAAAATAAAGTTTTTTGAGTTACAGCAAGCAAATGTCACCCATTCGGTGGAATGGCCCACAGTAGCATGCAATCATTTTATTCAGTTTAACACGTTAATAATATTTAACACAATTAAAGCCATCATCCTTTGGCTAGCGGTATACATGCTATGATCACAAAAAGCAAATGCTTTTAAAAACCATTCAGCACGTCAGTAAATCTCCTGTCTGTATGACGCACACACACACACACGACTCATGCGCACAGAAAGCGACTTGAACAGGCAAAAAGAGCGGACAGACCTGCTACAAAACAGAAAAAGAGAAAATCACTCACTGCTATTGACTGAATAACTTGAAAATCTTTTTGTGCATTTTGACAGGGCAAGTAAAAATCTCAACTGTGCCAAAAGGATAAATTTGACATTTATTGTAATGGGTTTATGTGAAGGCTGTTTCAAGTTCACTTAAATTCAGTTTTTATTTTTTTAAAGCCTAACAAATGTTACAATTTTTAGCTATTGATTATAATATGATGCTGAATGGCTAAAATTGAAAGTCGATATTTAAAATTTAGGCTTCTGTCTTTATCGTGTTTCAACATTAGTTTGCAGATTAAATGTGAAATTATAATAAAATATTAAAATCTTTAATAGTTAAGTTAAGTAGTTAAATTTTTATTAATCGATTGCCAGCATTATATATATGTATATATATATATATATATATATATATATACTGTATACACACACACTACTGGTCAAAAGTTATGGATCGGTATTCCCTACATTATGGTGATGTCCCCACAAAGATAGTAATGCCAGTAATTGTTCGATGGGTAGGGTTAGGGGATCGAATATACAGTTTGTACAGTATAAAAATCATTATGTCTATGCAAAGTCCTCCTTAAACATAGAAACCCAACGTGTGTGTGAGGGAGAGAGAGAGAGAGAGAGAGAGATGTTGCTTATCTTATCACCTATCTGTTTATCTCGGGTGTAATGCTTTTTTAGTGTATTTGAGGGACTTGTATTAACAGAGGATGTAAGTTCGAGAAAAAAAATGGTTAGTGTTGATGCACAGTGTGATTAATTTAAGTGTCTTATCAATGAGTTCCTGCAGTGTGAACTGTAGCTGCTTTTAGGAAGACGTGTGAAAGAAGGGTTTTTGAAATGTTGAACTGTATTGTTTTAGTTGTAAAGTGATGACCAATTTATACGCATTATAGTTCAATAGTTTTTGGTCAGTTTTTATTTATACTTTTATTCCACAAGGATGCATTCAATTGACCAAAAGTGACATTAAAGACAAAATGATTTTTAGACAAGAGTTCTAAATCTAGAGTTTTTCTCGAGAACAATATAGGCAAGAGACTTAGGCAGAAGACTACATTTGCTCTCCATTTAATCACTTTTTGTGAAATGGTTGTGCTGTCTTTCTTAAAAACAAGTGTCATTTGGTTTCATTTTTACTATGTAACGAAATGACATTCTTATTAAGTGTGGTATATGTTTTTTAAAATAGATATCGTCAGTCAGTCAAATGGATTATTCTTTTGTCATATTTTAGTCTGTACATGACTCCGATATGAAAATGTTGGCCAAAGTAATTGATAGAAATGACATCAAATTGTTATCTAAATTCTTGAACACTTTTTAAAGAGATCCACATTGAAAAAGCTGCACTCAAAATTGTGACACACTTTACACTAGGTCAACCGTGTTACTTGACACTTAGTCATTTAGTTTGTAATCTAACACCTGTAGTTCCTAAACAGGAGCTGGAGCAACCTGCCAGTCCATTACAAATATTCCACATGCGAAAGTTTTCAGCTAACAAAAACAATTAAGCAGATTTGAGTCTTTTTGGCCCTTTTGGAGAAAATGATAGAGATGATGATGATAGGGTACATGTGTGCTCATGAATGTCGACGTCTCTCATATCATAGTGGAAAAACAGGTTTGACTGTTGAAACTGTTGAGCCTCCTTCAGTTTGAGGGGGAATGAGACGGTTACCTCAAGTCAAATAAATGATTTACTTTTTACAATCAACAAGACAGTAGACCTCAGAAAGCTTTAGATTGTAAATGAAATGTTAATAAATTATATGGAATTGTTATGAGGTGTTATGCCTCCCATTTCCTCTCTATTTAAACCCTTGAAATAAAATGCATTTGTTTAATGTTAACAATGCGTGTTTTTCCCCAGTGTGGGATGTTTATAGTGGAGCATGGTGCCCCCTAGAGACTATTTTGAGCAGTACATGGCACCAATTTTAACCACAACATTATATTTATGACACTAATAATCAGAATCATCAAAAGATGCCTATCTAGACAATGGATTTGGACTGTTTATTTTGTACACGCACAGGGTAATCCATCTCTGCATCCACAACTCTTATCTGACAGATAGAGGTCAGAGCACAAACCACAGATGTCATTCAAGGACACAAAGCCTTTGTGAATGTGTGTTGCGTGTTGCAGCCACAGTGCAAAAAGTCCAAATGCTAAAATGTGAATGTCATGATATAGGAGGCACTTGGTTGTTTATATACTTATAATGTGCCAAAAGTGATTATTATTGCTGCATTTCTGAATATGATTGCGTATGTTTGTGTGTAGCTATGAAGGGTGATCGGAAGCGGTTGAAGGCAGAAAAGGCTGACCTGGTGAACCAGATGCAGCAGCTCTACACCACACTGGAGAGCCGAGAAGAGCAGCTCCGAGACTTCATTCGAAATTATGACCAGCACAGAAAGGTGTGCATGAAATTCTCCACTAACACTTCAGTTCACTTATAATTTGCTTCATGCTAGGCATTTGAAACAATCTTTCAAAAATGAAACTTGCCAATACTTACAGTTATCTAATTATTTTATCTTCTACCTCTTTTTGTTCAGGGTCGCATTAGATAATTGTAAATTTGAAAAGACTGATAAATTTACCATTGGCTAACATGATCTTAAAGGAGTAGTTCACTTTAAAAAAAAACTTTTGCAGATAATTTACTCACCCCCATGTCATCCAAGATGCCCACATCTTTCGTTCTTCAGTCGAAAAGAAATTATGGTTTTTGATGAAAACATTCCAAGATTTTCTCCATATAATTGGCTTCAATGGGGACCAAACGGTTCAAGGTCCAAATGAGAGTTTCAGTCCAGCTTCAAAGGCTTTAAACGACACCAGACGATGAATAAGGGTCTTATCTCGGACCCTTCGAGTCATGACTTGAGTAGAAAAAAGATTTGTTCATTTTGAGTCACGAACGCTCATCACAGAACAGAACAAGGCGAGCATTTGTGCTTATAAAACTTAAACTTTTTATTTATTTTTTTAAATGATCGAGCGTTTCGCTAGATAAGACCCTTATTCACCGTCTGGTGTCATTTAAAGCCCTTTGAACAGTTTGCAGTTTGTACTGAAAGTGCCTTTTGGACCTTGAACCGTTTGGTTCCCATTGAAGTCCATTATATGGAGAAAATCCTGGAATGTTTTCACTAAAAACCTTAATTTCTTTTCGACTGAAGAAAGAAAGACATGGACATCTTGGATGACATGGGGGTGAGAAAATTATCAGTAAAAGTTTTTTTAAAATGTGAACTACTCCTTTAAAGACACATTTTGTATTAGAGGAAACTTAGGGAGGAACTTCATTCTTGATGCGTTTGACAATATGTTGACAGATCCACATACAAACTGCTTTTTTGAGCTGAAAGAAAAGTAGTGTATATGTGTTTACGTGTGTACAGGAGAGCGAGGACGCGGTAAAGACCCTGGCCAAAGAGAAGGACATGCTGGAGAGAGAGAAATGGGACCTTCGCCGGCAGACTAAAGAGGCCACAGAACAAGCCAGTGTCCTGCGCTCCCAGATAGACATGAAGGAGAACAGAATCAAAGAGCTAGAGGCAGAGCTCACCATGGTGAGATAGCATCTCTCTTGATCTCTCTGTCTTGCAGACTCACACTTCCACTTCCCACAATGCCATAAACACTTACACCTCTTATCTTGTCTTAACTCATCCACTTGACGGTTTGCATCTCTTATCATTAGAGGCTCTCGAATGACCTCTCAATGGCTCTTAAAATCAGTTAAGATCCACAGATGGATCATGGAACCCCAACTGATCTGCATTATTATGCAATTTTACATTTTGCTGGATTGGCATTACGATGTGCACGGCAAACATATGTATGGGCACATGCAGTCACACAAAAATCCCCATGAAGAGGCACATGGCTGTCAACAGTGCAGTAATAGCATCATTACTCACTTCATCTGCCTAATCTGCTGTGCCCGTGTGCCTCACCAGTATTCACATACACACATTATCTCAGGCATACTAATGATTTCACTCCCACTGAGATTTTGAAATCTAGTTTTTCCCCCTGAGCAATCTGAGATCCTTTAACATCTATATACTGAGTAATGGACAAAAAATGTCAACTTTAATGATGTACAATGTAAGAACACTTAGAATATTAAAGGGTTAGTTCACCCAAAAATGAAAATTACGTCATTAATGACTCGCCCTCATGTCGTCCCAAGCCCATCAGACCTCCGTTCATCTTCGGAACACAGTTTATGTTATTTTAGATTTAGACCGAGAGCTTTCTCCATTGAAAATGTAAAAACGGTATACTGTCCATGTCCAGAAAGGAAATAGAGACATCATCAAAGTAGTCCATGTGACATCAGTGGGCTACATAGAATATTTTGAAGCATCGGAAATACATTTTGGTCCAAAAATAACAAAAACTACGACTTTATTCAGCATTGTATTGTCTTCCAGTTCTGCGTTCATAAGTCCGCACTGACGCTGCTGACGTGTTCTCTGGTTCAAATTAACATTGATACACATTAAATATAAAAATCAAAGCGTTTTAACTTTATAACCCAACTGTATAAAGGTTCTATAGTGATCTCAACTGTTTGTGTGCATGTTATTTTTGTACCGCAGGCAAAGCAGTCTCTGGCCACTCTCAATAAAGACGTGCCAAAGCGTCACTCTGTGGCGATGCCATCAGAGCCGGTGGTGAACGGCAGTCAGGAGTGGGTGATGCAAGCAGACCTTCCCCTCACTGCGGCAATCAGACAGAGTCAACAGACCCTGTACCATTCCCACCCCGCTGACAGGCAAGGTACAGGCCTACACAACAGCATGCAGAGATCCGCCAAAGGTCTTCTTAAGTCCACTCACACACCCATCTCCTGTCTCCACAGCTGCTTTGAGGATCAGCCCCTGTCACTCCCGCCAGCCCTCCGTCATCTCCGACGCCTCAGCTGCCGACGGCGACCGCTCATCCACCCCGAGCGACATCAACTCGCCCCGCCACCGGACTCACTCCCTCTGCAATGTAAGAGCTGCCTGGCACCCCCGACCAAGTAAACAGCCTTCCCAACTTGCTTTTATCTCCACCTTCACTCTTCTCAAAAATTCAGTCGCTGCGCTGCTCATCAGCATGGCTTCAGGGGCACGTTTTGTGTCGATGGTGGTTCATGCAAATCAATCAAAAGAGACAGTTTGTACCTGTAAGAATTAGTCGTGCTCCACAAGACTGAACTGAATGTGTTTGTTTTGCGCATTGGGCTTGTAAAGACCATTATTTTATGATTGTTTATTTATAAAATATTGAATTAGTTTATTAGTTGAATTCAGTTTTATCTCATGAAATTGCGCGTGTATGACACGCCAATTCGTATTTCCATTTTGGGCGTGCTATCAATACGCATAATCGCTTTTCAGTGTGTTTATGGGCGCCGTTGACTTAACGTTATTACTGTAGTGTATATATAAATATATGACCTACCCCAACCCCGTCCCTAAACCTACCCGTCACTGGGGTTAATAGTATTTATGAGTCTTCCCCTACCATCCTAGGAAAAAAAATATTGCTCCCCAGATGTAGATCTACATTTTGCCTCGTTTCGCTCGGACATTAATGGCGTTGACGTACACACATACATGCCGATACACGCGGATAGCTCAAAATGCGTATAGATGCTTTTGTCATTTTTATTCATATGTCTATTTAGCTTTAATTCAGCTTTACTCATTTTAGTACTTCAACTTATTTCAAGTAGTTGACAAGGCAACATTTACTCATTTTCATAAATAGTTTTACATCTATTATTTATATTTTCAGCTTCATTTCAATTGCCAGAAATAGTTTTTGGTTTAGTTTTAGTTACCAATAACAAAGATGGCAGTAACAGCAATAAACATTTATGCGTGATGTACCAAAATACCCAAGTGACCAACCACTCATTTTATAATAATTAATATGGGATCTCCATACAGTATGTGTTATGTATTTTTGTCATTTTTATTAACACTTTTTTTAATGCAGCTCATTAAAAAAAAAAAAAAAAAGAAAAAAACACGAATGTCTATGTTGGTCTGTCAGCCTGGTCATGCTGCTCTGTTTGCTGGTTTTAGAGGGGTTTTGTCAACCAGTTTAAACCAGCAAACTAGATTGGTTTCAGCAGAGACTGGAGAGTTCATCCGGTGGCATATTGAACTGAAATTGACTGTAGTCAACTACAAAATCTGACAATAGTGGTCTCATAAATGTAGCATTGGTCTAAACAAAAATGTTATGCTAATCACAAAGGTGATTGGCTCCTTTAACTGAAAAGGACTTCCATTCAAACAGTCATCATATTGAGCACTATTATTTCTGTGAGTGGTCTAATACTTTTTTTTAGGTTTTATTGTAGCAACGACTGCAGTTTTTGGTAAAAACTAAAAACAAGTAGAGCGTGTGGGCCCCTGAAGCAGTGCTGATGAGAGAGGGCAGATTTTCCTAAGATTCCTGATGAAACCACATGACTGACCTGCCCCCATATGTCCACCATTACTTTTCTATTCTCTCTTCTCCTTCTTCTCTCGCTGTCTCTGTTTCTGCCTTTTCTTGTTCTTGCTTCAGTCCATGGAGGACCTCGAGGACCAGAAGCGTAAGAAGAAGAAGGAGAAGATTAGTCTCGGCTCACTTTCTCGAGTGTTTGCCCGGGGAAAATCTCAACGCAAGTCCTTGGATCCGGGCCTGTTTGATGGTACTTCCACCCCTGATTACTATATAGAGGAGGATGCTGACTGGTGATAGTGCTATGCGTGTGTGTGCGTGTGTGTGTGTGTGTGTGTGTGTGGACGTACGCCTGGATATGTATGAGTTCATATGTGTGTGCGAGCGTGCATAAGCGTTTGTGTGTGCCTTCAAATGTATTCCCCGTGAAAAATACAGGAAAGAGGAAGAACTGCTGCCTCCTTTGAAATGTACATAACGACGCTTAAAAACATCAATGTAAATGAAATATATATTTATATATGTATGCATATGTACATATGTTTACATTGATATAAATATATACATGGGATCATTTGCGTGTGTATATGTTAATGCTGTTATAATGCTTTATTTGTGGTAATATGTCTCTTTTTTATGAACTGGAAACTTGAATTACTGCTGAGCATTTGTAAATAGGAACTCTTTGTGCACCTTGTGTTTGCTGATGTCTTCATGTGGAATGCTTCTTTTTCATGACTGCTTTTCCATGAACCCAGAGCTCCAGGCTGTCTTCATACACCATAGCGTGAGCTCCATCTGAAAGATTTAAAGGTGCACTCTGTCATTTTTCCCGTCATGAACATTTTGAAACGTTAACACAACATGATCACATGAGATGACATTGAGATCACATGAGATCACATTGAGATTACATGACCAGCTAATGTTATTTATTTGATTTTGGTAATCTACCTATTATTGGATTCTTCACTTTACTCTCTTGGCTGACTTAAAATATGACGTTTCTACATGGAATCTCTAAGCTTAGTGCCCTTGCCACTAGGTGTCAGTATAAGGCCCATTCACACCGAGGACAATAACTCTACATGTAAAAAAAAAAGTCCACACCAACAATAAATTAATGATAATGATAATTATGTAATTTGAATCACTTTAAAAAAAATAATAATTCAGGAGATGAAAGATAAGCTTCCTGTTTTAATGAGCATGAGCATTTAAAGCTGCAGGCTACAGAACTGCAGCGCATGTATAATGGAGTCCGTTGGTGTGGACGCTCATATAGTTATTGTTAGTTTCTTTGTTGTAATAAATGTGAATATGTCTTACAGGGACCCAATAATGAAAATTTGTCATAACTTCTCACCCTCAAGTTGTTCCAACAAGTTTATTTTTTCTGTTGAACACAAAAGATTATATGCTGACAATCAAACAGTCGACGCGGTAGCCATTGACCTATGAAAGTCAATGGCTTCATCAAGGTTTGATTACCATGATTCTTTCAAACACCTTTTTTTTGTGTGAAACTGATAGCCTACAGGTATGAGACAACATGAGGGTGATTAAATGACGACGTAATTTTCAGTTTTGGGGTGAACTATCCCTTTAAGTCCAAGATGGCAGTCAGCACAATATTAACGGAAAATTACCGAGTGCACTTTTAATGTTAGGATATACGGAGTGAGGTGGTTTTCTAAATGTTTGCCGTAGCTCTTTACCACAGTAATCTAATCGCTTAGGAACATCTGCGGTCAAATATCTCTGAGATTTTGCGGGCAAAAAAAAGGTCTAATGTCCATCGTCAGAAATGTAACGATGTAAGAAGCACAGCTCATTCAGAAGTCACATTCAAACCAAGCAGCTTTCTACAAAATCTGTGTTGAGAACTTTTTAGCCCTCACATGAAATGACTAGATTTTGCCCGCAAACTTTTGCAGAGAATGGGCCGCACCTTAATGGGGGAATTTTTCATGTTTACCTCAAGAGTTACACTCAGACCGCTGCCAAACCGAGAGAATGATCATTTGAAAGCTAATATTTTATTATGCATTATGTCCTCTCGCAAGGCTGCACCAAGGATCTTTTTAATCTTGACAAATGTGAAATGAAAACCTCTTAAAATCTGTATTTTATTGCCTGTAAAGACTGAATAAATCGTATTTTAGGCAGTTTAGTTCCATTATGATGGTAGATTGCATTCAGTTATAAAGTTGCAACGCTTCAGACTGGCCTTGTCGAGCTATTTTTGCGTAGTCTGATGCTTCTCAGATCACCTGCCCCTTGACATGTAGCATTATTTATTAGACTGTTTCCATATTTTTTTTTTTTTTTAAACTCACATTTTATAACCTACTAGGAATTACGTTTGATTTTGAAGTGATATTGGGAAAGTCTGTTTCCACTATTTAATTAAACACGGATCTGGAATATTCTTAAACCAGGTGCTGACCTTACATCAATAAAGTGCCAAATAGTGCAGCTTGCAGAAGAACTCAAGAAAATACATAGGAATATTTTCGTTTCTCTGCTCTATCAAGTGTGCAAATAGAATCATGCCTGTAAGAACTCACAACACACCCTGCTTCATAACATTCTTTTCCATTAATGTTGAACCCAATGATGTCATCATGACTCTTGTCTCCTGACATATCACATATTTCTTTCCGTTTCAAGCTTTCCTTTGCATCTTGGTGGCACTGATTTTTTTTCTTCCTTTTTTGTTTTGATCTTTTAAATTAAAACTGAACTTCATTCCACATGTCACTCTAATGATTTTATGTTGTAAGGTTTGTAAAGTAGATTGTGAGATATAATATTAAATCTATTAAAGAATTTATTTAAAGATTAGGAAAGAGGTCATTTCAATGAAAGCAGACTATCTTTGAATTTACAGACAGACTGATGAGAAGGTTTTAACACTCTGGAGATTTAAAAAGAAAAAAAAAGAAAATTAAAAGAAACTTATTTTAAAATAAAAACACATAACCCAACATCCATGTGCCTTTCTTCTTGACCCTGTGTGTGTGTTTGTGTGCAAGTTGTCATAATGGTTTCCTCTTAACCCTCTTGTTCTGGGGTTGCCATGGTTTGGGGTGACCCCGTTCCCACCATCTGTGTTAACACGTGTCCTAACATTGTCTTACCTCAGTGGATGAGAATGCCCCAAACTCACTACATTCATAACTCATATGAATATGTCAACTGGAACCAGTCTATCATGTACACCGTTATCCAAAACATGAGCACGGTCTACCCAAAACATCATCTCATGACTACCAACTGATTCTTTATTGCATTTAGTTCAAGGCTATATTTTAAAATGCTACACATTCATTAGGGTTTATATATATCATAGAAAGTACTATTCACAGCCTCATGAAGCATGATAAAGCACATGCTACAGTAAATTCAGAGAAATTGGGCTTTTTCCTTCTCGTTAATTGAAATGGAAACAGATTGCGATCTCCATTAAAATCCATTTTTCCATAAGCCAGCGGATGCTCTCGGATGTCTCGAACAAGGTCAAGGCTCCGTCTTTGTTTAGATGAGCGCCTGCCTATTTCCTCTAAAGGTTCGAAATAGGTGTCCTCTGCCCCGATGCCCAACAGATAATGAGTCTTATAGAGGTCATTTTTTTTGCCAGGACACACTTTTAGCGTTAGGTGGGCTATATTAGAAACCAAATAATGCACATGATTAGCTATATCTAATTAATTCAGATTCAACTGAAAGTCAAACTCTTCAAGGATGACGTCACTGCAGCAATATGAGCTCAGTTAGAGTTTAAATGGCGCCACCTGCTGGTGTAGACATGACACTACTTGTCTGGATTATATGGCGTTAATAGACCTTATTCAGAGCAGCGCCATGACAGATGAAAGTGAGGCTGTGAGGGATAGACTTACAGTGTTTCCACTGGCAAAGCTCCTAGATTACTTAAAATTTTCCTCAAATTACATTGTCAGGAGTTTTTTGTCAACTGAAATTTCTTGGAAAGATATTTTTCCAGTGTTTCATGAGCAGAACAATCCAAAAACACATTAAATAACAGTACAGCCCATTGAAGAGATGCATGTCTATCCCTCACAGCCTCGCTTTCATTCTCATTAAAAATCAAAGATGGCGCTGCCGTGAATAAGGCGTATACAAATCTGGTGACTTTCGTTTGGTGGTTTGATGGAACGTCTAAAAGAAAATAAATTAGTATGATTTTAATTTTAATCAAATAGTCTACTATGAATACATTGATTATTTACTTTGAAAGAATTTTCACTCAGAAATTGGTATTAAATTTTGCGGTGCCACTTTATGCAAATGCCTTTACTTACTATGTACTAATATTTAAAATTGATACAATGCACTTATAGTGTAAATTAAAGTTTTTATGCTGTACTTATATTTTAAAAATACCTGCATGTAAATATTTTCTGTAATTACACTGTTGTTGACCCATACTTTAGGCTACACCATAAAACACCCTTAAACATAACCTTACCACAAAACCTGAGCCTGCCAGTAACCCACCTCAACAGCAGCAAGTATTTTGTTTTACAACATAAACACAAGTACATTAAATCTAACCTTTTTAATGTAAGCATCCAGTTAAAAGAATAGTGAAAGTGGCATCATGTGTAGGCCAAGGTAACTCCATTGGAATTCTGCATTTAACTTACCCATATAAGTTAGTGCACACACATTAGGAGTAGTGAGTAGTGAACACACTCACACACCTGGAGCGATGAGAGGGTTAGGGAATGACCTCAATCATTTCCTCAGTCATTTCCTTCCGGTATTGAGAATTGAACCCGCAACTCTTCAGGTTACCAGTCTGACTCTCTAACCATTAGCCACGACTGCCTTATAAAACTGATACTTAATATAAAGTGTGAGCATTGAATTAAATGTGACATTTTGAAGTTTAAAGACAATACTAACTTGTTTGAATTGTTTTTAAATTGTGGTCAATCCACTGTACAGCAAAAACAAAAAGGCCTGTGACCCTGACAACCACGTACTTATATTCCCGTTATAGTAAAAAATGCTGTAAAACGTTCTTGTTAGTAGCTATATTAACATAGAAAAGCAGGTGAATTCAATGTTAGTTTCACACAGGAAGGGGAAGGAAGTTAAGTGGTTTGGAAGTGAAATTCTGAGGTGGTAAAAGTGGTTTTGTTTCAGAGGGTGTGTGGGCTATATGAGGATAGATAAGGCCTGTCGATATTGACCGCAGACCTAATCGTGGCTGTCAGTTCTTGCTAGAAAGCAATGAGTCATTTAAGAAGCTTGATAAGAGCAGAACATACTGAAATTTAACAGGAGGATATGGAGGTGGGTGCTTTTTCTGCACAGCAATAAAAAAAGCTTTTATGTGCAAAATGGATAAGGCATTTTTGTGTTGCTCTCAACCCCTCTGAACCCCTTAAATTTGCCCCCTCCCCCTCTTCCTGCCCCTCCTGACCAATCCAGACTCAGACAGCCTCTCCAGCCAGACCCAGCCCAGCCTATCAGATGGCGAGGAGCAGCTGGAGCGGCTGCAGCAGGCGGAGCTTACGCGGAGCAAGCCCATGTCTCTGTGGAGGGCGCTCACTGTGCAGGCCTGGCTGGAGGTTGTCATGGCAATGCCCATGTACATGCGCGCCTGCTCTGAGAATGTCAAGAGTGGGAAGGTAAATGCTTCTCCTCTTTATTTATTCCTGCTCTTACCACCATTTTTAAAAGCAAAAATGCACGTGAACACAACTAATGAGCAATGTATAATCCTCACCTCGATTAAGTGATATTTCAGGATATCATTTTCAATTATGTGGTCGCTGATTATACTTCAGTAGGCTACTATTACTTCCCTGATGCTTCCAATGTGCTGTGACGTGAATCTATGAATGATTACTCTGTTAAACTGGAAGAGGTGATGATGTCAGTGAGCTGCTTCCTGTTGCAGGTGTTGTTGGGGTTGACCGATGAGGATCTGGAGCTGGGGTTGGGAATCAACAGCCCCATGCACCGCAGGAAGCTGCGTCTAGCTATTGAGGACTACCGAGAAGCAGAGAATGGACGAGGGTGAGCGGCCACACTTGCTTAGATTAGAGCACACACACACACACGTGTGCATTGGCAATTGGTTTTGTTTCTCATTTTTGTCACTCAGACTTTCCAAAGCTGCTGATTTGGATCATCACTGGGTGTCTCAGACCTGGCTGGGTGACGTCGGGCTCCCCCAGTACTCACAGGTCTTCCACAACCAGTTAGTGGACGGCAGAGTGCTGAACTCTATCACACGAAGAGACCTAGAAACCATCTTCGACATCACCAACAAGTTTCATGTTACCAGCATCCTATCAGCCATTCAATTTCTGCAAATGCTTAATTTCGACAAAGAGGCATGATTTTTTTGTATTTCACATTCACTCTGAAAACATGCAAGTATTGTTGGTGGTCTTGTAAAATACACTGATCAGTTTGCTTTTATCAAAACATCTCTGCAGATTATACAGGCACGCCGTGCTCAGTGTGAGAATCGAGATCTGGATCCGGTGGTCTGGACCAGCCACCGTGTCATTAAATGGATCAGAGACATTGATCTTAAGGTGGGTAAGACATAAAAAATGAAATTTGGGGTCAGTAAGAATTTCCATTTTGCTTTATATGTTTGTGGAAACTCAGGGTTCTTTGATGAATAGACCCCCGGATTCGCAGCAGGGTTTAAGACTAATCCCAGACTAACATGATGTTTTAACTGAAAGAAACTTACACTGATCTTAAAATATGTCAGTTCAACTGTTTTGTCTCTCAAGATGCACACCAGTACTGTTTTTTCTGAGGCACGTTTATAAAAGCTACTTGAATGTCCTAATTAACCTAAGGCCTAATCCTGGCTTCTTAGCCCTGTCTGCGAAATCAAAAGAACAGTGTTTATTAGATTTTTTTATGCATTTTAATCAATTTAATGCATCCTTGCTGAAAAAAAATATATTAATAAAAACATTAATGACCCCAAACTTTTTAACCATGGGGGATATTGATCCCAAAAGTAGGCTATTTGAATGTCATAATTGCAAAAAATCTGAGAAAAAGTCTAGCATCATAGGTTTGATATTTTTAGTAAGACATTTAATGTAGCCTACTTTTATATCCAATCTGTTGAATGTTGTCTTTTACGCAGGAGTATGCTGACAGCCTTCAGAACAGTGGCATCCATGGAGCTGTGATGGTTCTAGATCCGACCTTCAGTGCGGACAGCATGGCCAAGGCTCTAGACATCCCCAACAATAAACATATGATCCATCGTCATCTATACGAGGAAATGAAAGTGCTTCTCAACCCAGCAAGGTGTGTCCAGCTTTTATTTCAGTCATTTTTAGTAGCATATGAATATGACAAGCTGTTGCAATTGATAATTATTAGAGAACTTGTAAACTTTAAAAGCTCCTGTCTCTTTGAATGGGGGAACATTACATTCTCAAAGAAAAAAATATGCTGATTTGTTAGTCACGTCATCCAGCTGTCGTCCATGGCACTGTGTATGAGTCCGCTCATCTGAAAAAAGACCGGCGCTACTTTCACATTTCTCGTGTTTGTACATTTTGTCAAAATAAGATCTCAAGAAGATCTTTTCTACAGTTGTATTAACTGAGCCTTTAGGACAGAATACATAGCGACAGAGTGGTTAGTTACTAAGAATGTCATACCTGCTTTTGAATGTGTTTTGAAAAGTATTTTATGCCAAATCGAGGTTGAATTTCCTGTGTAACAATGTTTTTTTAATGATAGGTAGTTATGGTTCATTATAGGTATGAAAGTTGCTCCAAGTTTTGTGGCACTTAAAAATTATTTGAATTTTTTTATTTCAATATTTAGCTGGAAAATAAACTAATGCCTTGAATTACTTGTAGTATATATCAATACTCAGGTAACAAGATGTGAGGGGCTAGACAATCTACAGGAGAGCACATGGCACAAGGAAACACATGACAAGCCATGTGCTTACAACAAACAGGACTATAACACACATCACAAACCACGAGAGCTCTGTCACTAAACTAGACAGAAGTGATAGAACCCTGACAATATATCTCAACTCAGATCAGTATATCATTTCCCTGTTTCATTTATTTATTTGTTGTGTATAGCCGTGTAAAAAGCACTTTGCTGAACAGTAACTGTATTGATCTTAAGAGTGTGGTATTTCTGTCTTGCAGAACTAATCAGGCTCAGGACTACAGGAAAGAAGGGACTCCTACTCATTCCCCTTCCTCAAACGGCCGCAAAACTGATGAAGGATTTTCTCCCAAGCAAAAAGTTGGCAAGGTAGGGGGCTGTCCTTTATTGGCACAAAGCAGTCTGTCAAAATTTAGAGAAATGGTGGACTTTGTCCGCCTATATTATTGTTAACGATCTGTAAAAGGATAAATAGCCTTTCTGTCATTCCTCAGAGCCCTTTGAGATTCAATCCACTGGTCGCCGTTGGGAGGGACTTCACTTTTCAAGGCGGGTATGGATCACCACCCAGAGAAGATCGCATCAAGATCCTGCAAAGGACCAAGGGCAGTCCCATGCACGGTTACTCGAGCATAGAGATCACGAATGTCTAAAGCCAACGCTCTATGTTTACCTTGGATGAACTAGGAAGAGTGAACCTCCCCTAACCTCTAAACGGACCAAATGAGCTCAATTATTTGTAAAAGAGATTTGAAAATTGACCATTTGCACTTATGAGAATTTTGTATTGGCAATAAATCACAACTAAGCACTTAATACATTTTATAAACTGGCTGCATTAAAAAATGAAATATGTTGTTACTGACACAATACTTAGATAAACTTGTCCTGATTCCTGTAAATTCCAGTCAGAACTGTAGGTATGCAGCTGAAATCAATACCACATGTTCAGATTGTCCATTGCCTCTGTGAAGGTCATCACAACACTGTGCTTGTTTAACGTTACGGAAAACGTACGAGGAATAGCGGTGTGAATACATTGTGACAATGCTTCGAATGCCTCGTCGATGTCTTTTCTTTGTTTGAAGACATCTGTTGACATCTGCTAAGATGTTTGTGTTTTCAAAGTCTCATTTACATACAAAATTAAAAAGCAAGAGCCACTTTAGTTGCAATGTTGTGTGGATTAGTCATAAGGATCACTCCAGTTGAAATTGAAATAAGAATCTTTCTTATTCTCTTGTGATTTTCAACATCTCTGTCTTACCATGCATGCAATTCAGTTTGTTCAATGGAAACAATGCATTGTATAGTGACTATCATGCACAATAAGGAAATGAAAGAGTGAGTGATATGATTGGAAAGCCTTGGATTCTTTCTTTAAGGAGTGACAGAATGATCCTCTGTTATGAGCAGGGCTCCCAGATGAATGTATGGAAAGGTAAAATATAGTATACAATCTACAAGCCAATGCTACACAATTTCTACAGCTGTGTTTTCCACACAGAGCCACAGGGCACACATGCAGAGCAAATCCAGTTTTGCAGCTCAGCATGCAACAGCATTGAGCATTGATGCAAACACCCTCTGTCATGTGGGTCGACACAGATTAGATCACATGAGTGCGTTTCACAAATTCAACAAATGATTAATTTCAGATCTTGGTTAAATCAGTTGGAAATGCCAATTATGAATCACAGATTTCCTGCTTGGTTTGACTCAAAATGTCCATTGATAGACATTGGTCACACATCATACCAGCAGATGCACAGCTCAAGAATATAGCAGTTTCTGGTGCATTTTTAAGGTGGATTTTGCAATCACAAATCATTTTGATATCTCTGTACCTTGTGGCATTAGTGAAAATGTACTTTCGAGAAACATTTCTTTATAGATGCATAACATGTGTCATTGACACAATAATAGGAAAATAAACTCTACATGCATATGTTTGAGTGTTTCTGTGTCTTTGTTTGTCAGGTTGGTTTTATACACTACCGTTCAAAAGTTTGGGGTAAGAAGGCTTCTTTTTAAAAGAAATTAATACTTTTATTTAACAAGGATGCATTATATTGATCATAGTGTCATTAAAAATAATTATGTTACAAAAGATTAGCTATATTTCAAATAAATGCTGAACATTTTATTTATCAAGTTTCCACATAAAATTAGGCAGCACAACCATTCTCAAAAAAAGCACCAGATCAGAATATTAGAACTATTTCTGTAAACTGTGAAGTCTGGAGTAATGTCTGCTAGAAATTCAGCGTTGCTATCATAGCATAGGCTACACTACATTTTTAAATATATTAAAATATAAAACAGTTATATTAAACTGAACATTTGTAAATTATTGTTTCATTTAATGAATTTGAGATCTTTTCTGGGTTAAACATAACTTTTTCATAAAGTTTCAAATGACTTTGTAGGCTATTTGTGTTTTAAAACATAAAGTCTGTCAATAACTTTTGCATACAGACCTTAATTAAATGATTAATCAAAAACTATTATTGTAAAAATATTTAGGTAATTCCCATTGTTCATGCCTTCATGCTAATACCTTTCCGGGTAAACTGAACAGCTCTTCTTCCTCTTCTATGAAACAGCCTCGCTTTAGGACCACGCGTCCGGCGTCCTACTAAACTCTTCTTTACAGCTGTGGGGTTGCACTCGAGTGTATTTTAAACTAAGTTCCTGTCTCTGTTTAAGCCTACAAATTGTTGAAGCAGAGTCACTGAGGAAGGAGTTAGAATATTTATCCAGCTTTTCCTTCCATAAGCGAATGAAAGGATCGTGAGGACGCTCGTTTCACCCGCGGCTGGGAGCGACACCTGCCTCAGGTACTTTCATGACACAAGGTGCGAAGGGCGTTAAACCGCGGCGGAGCTCAGGTTAGGCCGTACACCTTAGCTTCAACTTGGTTTATGCGAATTTATTTGGCGTTATTTGGCATCGTTTGACTTTTCTGGAAAAAAAAGTAGCCTAACACCTGGTATTCTTTAGAAATGCTGGTGTTACAAAGATTGTTTCTATCGTGAAATAACAGATACACTCAGGGACTTCCTCTCAACAGTTACACGTCAGATGGCATTAATAAAATCAGTAATGATTTATATTGTATCTTGTTTTATAATATAAAATCGTTAATTGTTTATCTAACTTCACATCTGATGTCATAGTGTCTAACAGAACTATTTCCAAATGGTCAGTGAAACTAAATCTTCAACATGATGAAGGTCATTCTTTTTTTCCTGGGGTGTTTTGTAGTATAAACAGTGACACTGAAACGGCAGAAATACGATCTACTCGAGTTGCCCTTATCAGAGCTCTATGGCCCTTATAAAGCTTTACTACGGTAACAGACAAAACTCCATCATCCATGGTTTACTACTTAACGTTACTTGTAACAGTTACTAACGTATTTGCTAATCATCATACATTAATATGGCATGTCATCCAAACAGTGTAAGAAACTTCCTGCATTGATGTAGTTTTGTTTTTGATGAGGTTACTACAGTAACAATTAAAGTAGTATGGTATTTTGGTGGTAATTATAGTTATAGTGGTTACCATGGTAACTATAATGTCTGCTTGTATCAGTATAAAAGCTGTAAAGGTATTGTTGACCATTGACTTCACTGTCATATAGACCATTTCACAAGATGTAAAGAACACTGGTCCAGAAACACTTCCTGTTTCAGTAACTGTTTTCTTTATTTCACATGTAAAGAAAACATCTTAAAGATGTTTGTTTAACTTTTTGATTCAGTTTTAAATGTTCTGTTGGTTGTATTTTATCCCAGCTTATATGTAGTGTTAAAAAACTAAAACAGGAAGTGCTTCTGGACCAGTGTTGTTTACATCTTGTGAAATGGTCTATAGGTAATCTTTTTTTTTTTAGTATTTTTCTATTAAAATTTTGTACATTCATCTGTTTTCAGAACTGTTATATTTAGTTTCTATAACCACAGTATTCCAGACGAGACACGAATGCAAGCAGTTTATTTTACCATTGTGTGACCATTCTGCCATGTATTCTGAGTTCAGATCAGCTCAGATAAGGTCATGGGGTGCATGTTTAGATGGGAGTATTTAGTGACCTGTGGATCTCTCTATGTTTACTTCAGGACGGGGAGCAAGTGTTGCTCTGTGTATTTGGACAGGCCTTCCTGGTCTTTTGTCATATTTCCCTATTTTATGTTTCTTTTGTTTTAACCAGGATTTAATGTCATTTGCTCTCTCCTTTGAAGACTTGTCACGTACCAAAATCTGCATCTGATTGATATATGTTTCATTTAAGGCTAGAATTGTGCAAATAATTAAAGCTATTTTCTCACAGATTCTCCCCTGTGGATAAATTCTATTGATTTTTACAAGTACAATTTACAATTCCAAAGGGGCGCCACCAACGGGCATTGTGGACAGACCTAAAACCAATCAGAGCGATGAAGGTGATGATGACGTATGCAGAGTGGTGGAGAAACAGAGTGTTGTTCTTTGCTCGTTTTTAACCAAAAGGAAACGTTCGAAACGCTTAAAACAGACGAGATAGCTGATTCGAATGAGTGATGTTCGACCGGCGACATCCATTGTAATGTAGGTTACAAAATCTGCTTAAAAATGTGTAAAGCCCACCCCAATGTTTCTGATTGGTGCCTCGATTTCGACGGATTGGAAATGGGCTTGAATGAGCTCTTTGCCACAGACTAACTTTCAGAGCAAATCTAAATTTGCCGAAAGTTGTCTATTTGCATTGTTTTAAGGGTAGATTTAGATAGATTTAGATTTAGGTAGGTAGGTATAGATGTAAATAAAGCCTCAAACCACATACAAATTATACTGTTCGGATTTTTTTTTTGCTGTTGAATTGTCTAACTACTGTTTTAATGGGAGGTACTGGTGCGTCTCTATTTAAAATCCCTTTCAACAAAACTCCTCCTGCCAGTCTTGAAAAACAAAGACAGGCTTTTACCATTACTGTGCACATTTTGCAGTGCTTGTCATGTCTTGCTCTGTGACAAACCTGTTTTATTAGTACCCCTAAATGTACAAGGCTTTCTCAAACTAACTACACTTTCTTTCTACACAGACGATTGCTCTCTTTCTCCCTCTCCATCTGTCCGTTCTTCATTCCTCTCAAAATATGAACAGAATCATTTTTTTCTTCATTCTGAAGCCACTTGTTTTAAATCGAAATTGAACATTGTAAAACATATTTGACCATTTAGCCTACTTTTCACCCTCTAATAAATTACACTCACAGGCGGATGATGAGTCATCCTGAAAGGTCCCATAATGCCTGCAATCGTGATTCTGCTTTAGTGGTCTAACTGAACGCATAACGTAAAACGTTTGTAAAAACCACCTTATGATAAAACGTGGCTACTAGGACTCGCCTCACATTCCACAGAGTATTTACATGTTGTTAAATGGAACTGTATTGAAAGAGTTTTATATAAATAGACTAAATGCTCTGAGCATTTTGTAAGAATGCTAATTTTGGTTTTGCTAATAATAATAATAATAATAAAATAGGCTGTTTGTCCTGTTTTAATGTGAATTTAAAGTAGCTTTTACCTAAAATGACACCCCTTCCCCATTTTCACTCTGAGCACAGTGAAGTGCCCACATTCACGAGTGAACAATGCTGTGTTGTTATGGCAACAGTTAGTGTACAGCAGCAACCCAACCTTAGTGCACTGAATCAGTTTTGGTGATTTTTAGTGTGCAACTGTGCATATCTTCCTGATGGCTCTTAATCTTTAATTTCAAGGTTATTTGCTGAAAGATGGTGTTGATGTATATGAAAATGAGAATGGATGTGGGAAAGAGTGTAAAAGTCGCAAGTTTTAAATATTGTCTTTTTAATGCACTTATTTTATCACATCGAAATAGTCTTTAGTCCCTGTTGCTTTAAGGGACACCAGGCAGGAATCCCATTTTTGTCTAACAGCAAACCCTAGATTCGCTGTGGAGTACTTGTATTTAACGTTACTGTCGTAAATGCCACTCGCACGCGTCCATGTGAAGACTGTGCGCGTCACAACAGAACATTATGTCCGCGCCACTGATTGCAGCGGCAAGAGCTTTGGTCACTTGATTTCAAAAACAACACATTTCAGATCGCCTCTTATTTAACAAACGAATGAAATGGGGGTGAGACGGCCACCTTTCAACCCAAAAGAAGTCATATAAGCATTTCAATAACTAACTCATTTAAATAAAGCTGTTCAGTTAAGCTAAAAAACTGCATAGAATCCCTTTAATAGAGATGCTGACATTTGGGGAGTAATTTAGATTTTGGCTGAAATGTCACATTTCCTTTTCTCTTTATGACATCCCCATAAAGACAGGAAGCTTTTTAGCGCTTGTACTAAAAAATAAAGATCAAAGTGTGTGTCTCACACACATACACACAAAACATACACACAAAAAACATGTTGCACAACCCTTGTTGACTCATAAACCGCCTAAATGCGTTGTACTGTATTTTCTGCTAGTCTTTGTGTGTGTGTGTGTGTGTGTGTGTGTGTGTGTGCCAGGCACAAACTGCGTACAAACTGATTTTTATGCTCAACATTCAAAATGTAACTATGATGATTACAATTACCCTCTTATGATTCTTTTGTTGACACCCACCCAACAAATTGGCACAAAGAAAAGTGTTTTACTGTGAAAGTGAATCGCTGTGATTGCAATCATATTTCTACCATTTATATCATTGTTTATAAAACAAAAGACCCCCAGAAAAGCAATTGACCTTTATTATTGTAATTATGTTTCCAGGCATACAGAAGTAGCTGTTTTCATCTCTATTTTGTTATACATCAGAGTGAAACGGATTATCTTGAAAACATATAAGCCTGGTTCTGTCCAGCGGTTTTTGATTAGATGGAGGCTGATCTAAATATGAGATTGTAGTGAATTGTAAGAAGGGGGCGGGGTTTAAGCCGACAAAACGATTGGAGAAGTCCTGCATACATCAGAGAGAAGTCTGACGTTTCACTGCAAGAATAACTTCTGGTGGATATAATTTTGAGGTCAAAAAAAAAAAAAGAAACGTATTCAAGGAATCGTTCACAATAAGATCAATAACATGACCTGCCGTCTCTAGATTGTGACCACCAATTAGATTCTTTAATTGTTAGGTCTGAATACTCCAATAAAATCCCTCATGTTGGGCTTCCCTGGTCATTTCGCAACTATTAGACTGAAATGACTTGAAAGCAGCTCAAAAATTGTATTAAGAGTTGTAGCAAGTTGTACAATGTCCATACATGGTAATTCTTTCAATGACATGCTGGAATGCTACCATTTGACCTCTAGAGCGGCACTGAGCCAGATGGATAATAATATTTTGCTTTAGTCTCTCTCTCCAATGAGCTGAAACATAGAAACCCTTTTCTTTTGTTCCCTGTCATTTCCAGGAAGTATTTCCGCTTCAATGACATGTTTATAATGGTTGTCTTTTTTTTTCTTCTTTTATGTCACAGTTCTGCTCTCATCCTCCACACTTGGACCACCCTTCCAGGGGAAGTGTATGTTTGTGAATATTCGAGAGGATCATTTACAGCTATGTGTGCCAGTGGGCAGCCTCTGTGCTCAGGAAGCAGGCGTTCACCCGCCAGTCAGGAGGGCAGTAGTTCAGGCTCCCAGTATGCTCTCTGTGCTCTGGGGGTGGGCTTGGTGGCTCTTGGTGTTGTCATGATCGTGTGGAGCATAGTCCCTTCTGATGGGACACAGGTGCACAATTCTACAACCACGAACAATGGAATTGCCAGTGGTGATTTAGGAAAGACATCGTCTGTTGCATTTGTGCTGGTTGGAGCTGGTTTTGTCATGTTGCTCCTTTCCGTATGTCTCGGGGTGAGGAACAGGAAGCGGACGAGACTCAGGGAAGCTGCAGTTGCACGCCGTGCTGATTATGTGGATAATGTCCATAGAGATCAGGAGGATGAGTGAGTACTGCTCTATACTTATTACACACACCCTTTCCGTAAAAGTTTAAAGATGATGAAAAGATTGATGTCCAGGTTTTGTATCTTTTTCCTTTTTCTGCGCCCGTTCTATTTCCCATGATTCATAGCGGGTTCAACTGACTAAACCGTTTTCTACTTCCGGTTGAAGTATTTGTTTACATGGAATGCTAGCACTCTAGTCCAGACATTAGAAAAATATCAGTCTACACATGCGTTTTATATTTAATATGAGCGAAATAGTCATAACACAACAAATCTTTAACTTTTAGGTGGCAAAATATTTTTTGGCAATTCTGTGAATTACTCTGCGCAAAACAGAAGTAATAGCCTACTAACCGGATGAAGAAGGGTCGGTCTCCTCAGATTATTGTTTTCTCACGAAAAATAAAATGTTACGGACGTGACCGTTTTCCATTACGCACAAACCGCTCTGAAAGCGACTTTTGAACTTTCACAGAGATCTTAAACCAAAAACACAAAGCCTGTCTTTAAAGGGAATTTCGTTTTTTTTATTAATTGTATCTTAATTTCTGTCAATGTTTCATCAACCAATTACCTGGTTGTAATAAATAAGAAGTAAATATAGTAGAAAATAGATCATCATGACGGAGGCGCCGGCACGCAAACTGGACTCTGGTCTCATAAATGAACCAAAGCTCGGCGTATAATGTAGCCTACTTGCCTCACAGACCTGAGAAATATATAGACTATGCATCTTTGAAAGCAGAGGTAGACAGGAGTCAAAGGGCTAACCAGCCTAAGCTGATTTCTTGTGTTATTCAGCAGTCGGGGGTGATAGAAACTGTCAGATGTTCATGTATTGCTGGATTAGGGAGATCATACATCAGCATCTATGATGCATAGATGCAGTCATACATCAGCTATCCTTTGGAAGTTATGAAGAAAAGAAAGAAGTTAATTTTATTTTTATCTGTGATTTAATAAAAAAATTACGTGACCAGATCACATTTGATGAATGTTTTTTTGTTTGTTTTTTTCGATTTAGTTTAGCGATGTGGGGATGACAATCTGAAACACAGCAAAAACGTATAGACCAGATTCGAACCGGAAGTTGGCAACCGGAGTCGTCGTCATGGCAGCGCGCATTGTTTAGAGCAGAATAAGGTGGATAGGGATACACCGATATTAATTCAGGCCGATTAAGATATGTCAGTAATTATTTTCATAGACTATTACTGATAAATGGCAGATATTAAAATTAAATGCAATTTTCATTGAAATGCCAAATTTTTTTCTCTTTTTTTAATTTGCTAAATATTAACAGTGTTATTAAAGTTCTGGGGTCCATAAAAAAATCTATTAAAAAAAAATGTGGCTCTTTTGAACTTCCTGTTCATCAAAGAATCCTGAAAAAAAGTATCACTGCTTCCACAAAAATATTAAGCAGCACAACTGTTTTCAACATTAATAATAATAAGATATGTTTCTTGAGGATCATGTGTGAACCCGTTCAGTTTTGCTATCACATGAATAAAACACATTTTAAAACATATTAACATGTTAAACTGTTATTTTAAATTTTAATAATATTTATTTTTTTACTGTATGATAAAGATGATATGATCAGATAAAAGCAGCTTTGGTGAGCGAAAACCAAAAAAATCGGTCATACTTTATAAGTACTAATAAACAGCCAATATCCTAGTAATATGTATGCTACTAGTTAATAGTGAGAATTACACCCTAAACTAAAGTGTTACCAAAAATTCTTACCAATCCCAAATGTTGAGTGTATATATAAATAATTAATAATTAATCTTAAAGAAAAGTTGTAATATCAGTACAGATATATTGTGCATCCCTAGTTCCCTTTGTTCAAGCATTTTGACTTATTGACTATATGTTATGTTTACCTGCTTGCAACTCATGTCATGATATCTTTGTAAATATTAAATCAAGTGAACCCATACCCAACTTTGACGTCCCCACCTATGAGGAGGCGGTCACCAGCGGACGGTACCCTGTCCGACAGAGCAACTTGCAACAGAGTTACAAGTTACCCTCGTACGAAGATCTGATCGGTGCCGTTGAAAATGAAGGCCAGCAACCGAAAGAAGGTAATGGCCAAGAGGCCCCTCAGCTGACTCCTGACCCCGGACCCCAGCCTGCGGCGCCCACCCGCACCGGAAGCAGGGCCAGCCGCCTCCTCAGACCTCTCCGAGTGCGCAGGATCAAGTCAGAGAAGCTCCACGTCAAGGATATTCGTTTGGATATCCAAAAGCCTGGACAGGACAGGGTGGTCATTGAACCACTGACCCCACCACCACAATATGAGGACAAGCCCCCTCAACTACCCACAGAAGCAGTGTAATCCTTCAATCACTGGATTTTGCATCTGTGGGTTGCTTGGGAAATGTTGACTCTTCTGTGCAAAAGCAGAAAGTTTCAGTGAGAGTGATAAATATATCTCCAAACTTGCCAATTTATGAAATAGGGTACATTCATGTTTGCTGTACATTTTTTTTCTTGGACAAAACACTAAAGCCTACTTGAATGTGTTTTAAAAAATCAGAACTATCAATATTGTTGTTGTTTTTTTACTGTATGAAGAGGGGAATGAATGCCACTGCATGTTTCTTAAGATAGAGATTCACTGTTTACTTCCAAAGGACTATACAATGTACATTGCAAAAAAAAAAAAAATCAAACTAAACAAATTATTTTTAGAGATTATGATTGAAATGCCAAACGCTAGTTGCTGTTTTTTGGAAAAGTCTTTTTACATGTTATAGTAAATCTGAATGTTATAGTTTTTCCAGTTAAATGCAAAAAGAATGTATATAATAGATGTAATTCCAACTAATCTGCTTAACTAATTTATTCAGGACCATTAATCAAATTAGTTGTATAATATTTTTTTTAGTATGTTTTCATTAACAATGTGTCTGTTCCATTTGCAATTAACTTTGCCTCTTTTTATCTAGATATATAATATTAACTTTTTTTGTATTGACTTTTTGAATTAAAATGCAGTTTCAAATATTTTTAAAACTCATAGGAAAGTATGCAACCTTGTTATTTTAGAACATATTCTGCATTCACATGAAATTATAAAAATTGGTATTAAAAAAGGAAAGGTCTAGATAACACAAAAATGCACCTTTTTTTTAGGGAACTGTAAATGTTAATTTGGAAGATTTGGCATTCCAGCTGCAGTTCAACTGTACAATAAGCCACATTGCTGCAAATGAACCGCTTTCAATCATAAAAATGTTGTTGATGTCCTTTTGTATATGAGCTAAACTGCACCTTTTAGCAAATGCTTTTGTTTTTATTTACATCTTAGTTTGTTATAATTCAGTTGAATTGATGCTATTAATATTTACTTGACCATAGGAATAAGATTATGGGTAATTAATCAAATTAATATTTTAAAGCAGAAAAGCTCTGTATTTTATTTATTTCTTGTGGGACTTAATAAAATTGTGTAAATATATGTTTTTGTTTATCTTTATGTTCCCTAATTTGAAACATAATGTGTGCTGATTTGTAGTGCCCTCTAGTGGCTGAGAATCGTACAAACAATGTTGAAAAACTGTCAAGGATGGACAATTTGTTTGCATTTTTTCCTGTCATAACTTTTAACAGCTGTTTTGACATACTGGAAAATCTTTTAGGTCATTCTTTATGATACTTCTAATTTGAGTGGATGTGGTGCAACATGAGGGTGAGTAATTTATTACTTTGAAACACCAACTTTCTTTATATTTCTCAATTAAAAATGTAATTGTATTGTCACTACCAACTCACACTGTTAATTTCCCACGATTTTACATTTATCATCCAATGTATTTTCCCAACCTATTTTCACATATATATTTGTTTCATTTCAGACATCACCCTACAGCAGGCTATGTGTGGTGTGAAAGAGGGCTGTATTGTGACAGGTATTTGAAGCCAACTCAAACTGTGCATTCATGATAGTGTTGGATTTCACACAACCCAATTTCAGGCATATGTGCCAAAATTAACCATTAGACAAATGCTTGCGATTTTCTATGTTCCATGAAAAACAAATTAGGCTGTTTCAATATCACCCAAATGACCCAATCTAAACAAAGGAGTATGAGTTATGTCTTCACTCTTAGATTTTAGAACATTGGTCAAAATGACGTTCTGAAATACAATGTTTATTGTTGAGTCAGGTTTGTCATAACTTGTTTTTTATCCAAAAATGTTCAATACTACAGCATGATTGCAATTTGACATTAATGATATACAACAGTAAACAAGAATTGAAAAACTTACTGATCAAATGTTTGAGGTTGGTAATGCTATTTTCCATCTTGTTCCATCTTTTGTTTCAAAACATTTTTTATGTTTGTATCCCCCATGACATCAACCCTTTAGGAGTATGAAGTCATTGAAAACAGAATGCTTATTTGGCAAAGCATTTTATATTTAGCCGCATTTTAAAAACATTTAACTTAAACATTCTTTTACTGTTGAACAATAGTATAGTGCCTCTCTATGAATTATATTAGCCGTATCATATTTAATATGCAAATTTGTAGAAAACTTTGCTGAAATTAATCCTGTTGTACCCAATCTACTTTATGCCTTCTGCCATCGAATTGATAGTTCATACTTTTAAAAAAAATACTTAAAAAAAAATCATGAAGTAAAAAAAACTAAAAGCCTTCCTTCCGCTAGGAAAAAAAAATAGTCCCTGACCGTGAACAGCAACAACAATGTGTAATATGTTGGAAAGCTCAAATAAAAACGATATTAACCAAGGAACTGCAGTGTTGCGCAGTGATAAAAAATACATTTCTATTATATATATATATATAAATACTAATATTTGAAATATAAATAATATTTTTTTCTTAAAAATACATGCATGCGTGTGTATTTATATATAAGCACAAACTTTTATTTTGGATGCGATTAATCGCGATTAATCATTTGACAGCCCTAATACACACACACACACACACACACACAGGTTTCATATTTTATTCCAACCCGGTCTCATCCCAAGACGTCATATAACTGACGTTTTGGGACGTCTTTTGACCATACGTCAATATTCGCCTTTTTAGGGCCCCCTTAAACGTCGGTAGATGAGGTTATGGGATCCTAACTCTACCCCAGACCTAAACTTAACCCTAAACCTAACCCGTCACCTAACTGACGTTAAAGGTAAAGCGTCAGTTGTATGACGGCCCGGGATCGCCATCTACCGACGTTTAAGGGGGCCCTAAAAAGGCGGATATTGACGTATGGTCAAAAAACGTCCCAAGACGTCAGTTATATGACTTTTTGGGATGAGACTGTGTTATTTATTCACACACACACAAACATCATATTTGTTTTTTAAGTTGGAGGGCGTGTAGCTTCATGGGAGGGGGTCTGACACGTTCCCTTCCTTCTGCCATAGAAAGTGTTGACAGAAATTGCCTCAAAATATCTATGTATTGTTGACCTAAAACTGAATTTTGGATAGCTAACTAAATTATTAATGACTGAATGATTGAATATATTTTTTTATTTAAGTATTAAGTATTCCAGTTATTTTCTAAAACAGGCCACAAAGTATAGAGTCTGTTGACCACTGAGTCTATTTTTATACCCCTCAAAGGGCAAATTGCATATTGCCTGATTGTGAAATTACAGATTGTGAAAAAATGTAAAAATGAAATTTATAAAATCTCAACATTATCGGAAGGTGAGATTTCAGCCAGGTGGCCATGTATTTAAATACTGCCAGTGAGCTAAACAAAGAATGTAGGCCTATGAATAAAGTCACCAGATATACTGTACATATCAACTACAAACACCCTTTCAACTTGAAACCAAGAAATGACACCTACACTTTCACTACCTCTCACAGCCTCGCAAATAGTGAGCCTACATTCTGACGTACAACCCAGAAGTGCTGGTGAACTCAGAGGCCCACACAGAAGAAAAAATAATAGTTGAATAAAGTTGTTATTTTTTATTTATATATATATATACACACAAACACATCTGGCACATCTGATTTTTAATCTTACTGTAAAAATAATAGCAAACACCTTAAAATCATTATTTGATAATGGAATTGGTCTCCAATTGTCGACTAGGGTAGTGTCCTTATTAGTTTTTGGTATCAAACCAATCAATCCCTGAAGTAAAGATTAAGGTAACTCATCACATAATAAAAACTGAGATAATTGTTCTTGAAATTCCTTGCAAAATTCGCAAACCAAATCATCATTACCAGGAGATTTATTATCTTTCAGTTTACTGATCCCAAATTTAACTTTTTCTATAGAAATATCTTTGTCACACAACATCATACAATCCTGATCTATACATTTACCATTTGCTTTAATTCTATCTAGAAATTGTCTTGGATTGCCATCATCCTCTTTTCCAACACGGCTTTATAAATCCCGCTGCCGAGTTCCACGCGGTGACGTCAGGCGGACTATACCGTGAGTGGTGGTATTTCAGTAGTAGCTTGCCATTTGTTACTGCTATACTTCAATTTCAGTAAAAACCTGCCAACATTGTTGCCATAACGACTGTTAAAAAACCCCAATTAGGTCGAACTGTGGTGTAATAAAAAAAACTAACAAAATTCTTCCAACAGAATCCAATCATCGCTTGAGATAATCAAATTCCCTCCATCTTCCGTCTGTTTAACATATAATGTGCTATCAGACAGAGTTTGGAGGAATCCACCATATAACCTTGAAATAATCTTATTGCAACAACAGTTTTTCATTGACTAAAGGGGTCAATCTTGCATCTCAGATCTGTAAAACCAAGGTAAATTCCTGTACCTCATGCCAGCAAATTAAAGACTTTCTGATATTTACTCTGAGAGCAAAGAATTTTCAAGCAAAATCATGTGGTGTTTTATTAGTTTTATTTATTTCTGACTTAATTTTAATATATATATGTATATAAAGATATAAACTTGAAATGTAGCAGATGTGATTAACTGGCCATAATCCTTCCAATACAATTACAAATAAATGGATTACACTGGCCATGAGTATAGCGGATGCGACTGATCTTCAAGAAACTGCCCGATATATTCCTGTACGCAACCGTGCTGTGCGCAGCTCTTCGGCTGTTTCGAGGAAGATGAGCTGGACTGAGCCCAGCAGGTTGTGGTCGCTAAGGAGGAGACGGCTGTAGATGTGTCCCGAACCTCACATGGTGCCACGGTCAGCAGAGGCAGTAGGACATGCCTCTGGACACATGATATGCCTGTCAGATATAGGCCATAGATCGAATTCATCCATTGGTAGGATAATAATAGAAAACAATTCAGTTATTGACTGTTTTCCATCATAAATGTTTTCCATCATTACCAAAGATTTATACGATTAGATTTAGTCTAATTCTTACTGGCCTGTTGGTATAAATGGGCCGTCCGTGTGATGCACCATCTGCGCGTCTCGTCCATGGAAGCTTGCTTGGCCTCCCAGTCTTTTCTCACACTTTGTTGGAAATGGTCGAATTTACAGACCTGAGACTAAACTTTTTTGAATGCCAGTCCATCCTTTAAATCTCTGGTCAGCTTGGAATGTTTATTGAGTGTCTTTCTGAATAACAGAAAAACATTCAGAAATGCAATGAGTTAATGGCACATTGTAAAGATGATTTATCAAAACACAAAATTATAATCAAGCAAATTGTTAGTCATTGTAAAGGTGAAGGCAACTTTTTTGAGCAATATTGCCATCAACTGGCAACCAGATGAGACACAGGGCCCATGACCAACCTAAAGTATCCAGAAAGAAATGAATTGCCCATTTTCAATGGGAAAATGCCCAAGCAACAATAGCGCGGCAAGATTGCCCAGCAACATCGCTCAAAAAGTTGCCCTGTGTATCATCAACTTTAGTCTTTTTCTCACCCTAATTGCTTCAATTGGACGTGTCTGATGATGTATCTCCGTAAAATACATCCAAGTCGTAGAGCAACACACTAACTTTAAGTGTTTGACTGATGCTTCCTCTGCACAGGTTGTACATTTCAGAGAAGATGATGTTGTTCTGAAAACATCGATCCAGATGTTTGAGGTTGTTTCCTTGAGCTTTGATGTCAATAAATAACTAACGCTTGACCTTTCACCTTCTCCTGAAGCAGTTTGTCATCATCCTCTTCACTGTTCTTGTGTTTTATCATGAATAAAGGCAAGCACAGCTATTCCAATCAGAATCAAGGATTGGAACTAATCGTTTTATAATTTGAAATATCAACCGACTGTATTTTAATTATTACAAAGTCACTTGCCTTTTAATTATAACTAAACACAAAATAGGCTACTTAATTGGCTCATTATCATAAAACGCAAAGTTTCCGCGAAGGAAGGTTCCTTTGTAGGTAACGGAGATTATAAAACGCACGCGGACTTGTTTAATTATGTTATTAATGTTATTTGTGACCTTTAAATTTTGTTAATAAAATTTACTATAACCCTTATAAGTAAAC